GTGGCATTATGTTGTACCTCGTCAATCTCTAGCTGTGAGAGCAGTCCCTTCTTTCGAATGTTGGAACACTGAGCTACTAGTTGTTTCGCCGTCATTGTGGATGTTGGGTATCGAAGAATCCATAGGTCCCTCATCCTATTCATGTAACCCCTTCCGCCAGGGTTACTTGCGTAGTAGCATTCCAACAATATATATATGTGTATATATACACACATATATATATACATATATACACATATATACACACACACATATACAGTGGGGCAAAAAAGTATTGCAAGTTCCCCCACCTAAAATATATATATATACTATATATATGGCGTCTTTGGGAGGATCTCAAAAAACTGGGATTATAGATCTGAGGTTAATATCTGGGACTCTCCACCATTTGACCCTTAGAACTAGAAGCTTCTCGGATGAGAGGTGAAACGTCTTCAAGCCAAAACTTAAAGAAAGTCCAATGTTTTAATGTTCTCGTTATTAAACATTTGCACATAAATAAGTGACGTCATATTCAGTACTTACTTTTGACAGTTCACTCTTCGCTCCCTCTTCTGCCGTATTTTGCGGCAAAATTATCCACACCCACCGCCGCTATGAATTGTGGGATATATGGGACCACGAAGTGTGCACCGGAGCACGCTTGATATTTGGGGAAATCGATGGCGCATTTGGAGTATGCATTTGAAGTACACTTCGAATTGGGACAGCCGTCGTCGCGTGGCGGTGACGTAACCGCACTTAAAATGCGTACTTCAAGTGTGCAGACCCTGAATTGGGACACAGCCACTGGTAAGTTCCACCAAATTCACAGCAATACTGGTAACAATGATAATTAATGATAACAATAATTATATAAAAACATCTACCTAAGGAGCTAAACTGGCATTCAAGCAGTGGAATAAATGAACACACACATTATTATGACTAACACAAGACTCGAGTGCTGCTCTCTGTGCAGGACAGGTATTTTCTTCTTCCTCGGTCCTCCAATGAAAGGATTAGTTTGATCATACGTGTTTCTGTTTGTTCCCAAACTCTCTCAGATGATTGGTTCAGTCTTGATTAAACAACTTAAAGTACCAAGAATCATAAGATATATGAGGTGATTGACTGAAGTATTTACTTAAAATAAAAAGTACTCTTTCTTTTCTGAGTAATGATATTTATAAACTGTGTGATCGCGGCAACAGACACGAGGAAACTGTTGATCGAGTGCTGATATTGTTTCAAAGCCTGTGGTCAAATTATCATAAATACTACAGAGGACACTGGGTGCAGACGTGTATATGACTGATACTTTCAGCCAGTTTCACAAAAAGAAAGAAATGAATCAGGATTTGTGGAAGTAATCAATGACAAAAGACAGAGTTGATGGAGGTGAATGTGTGAAGATCATGTCACTGAATCCTAAGGAGGAGGAGATCCTCAACATGTGAAGCTGTCAGTATTTCTCAGGTTTCTTTGTTTCTCATGAGTGAATATTCTCTGTGTTCATTTCTTCTGAAGAAAAGTTTTGTACAAGAAAATCTACAGCTGATCAAAAGAGTTGAAAAAAGCAGTAAAAATGTTTCTTAGGCCTCAAACTAGACTGTAACTGTAAACTCATTATATTAACGATGCTACTTTGAAAGGTACAGTTTGAAACTGCAGTACAATCAAAGAAAAAGAGAGCAAATGTGTTTTTTTATTCATGCCTCCAGCTTTATTAGAAAGTAGAAAAAGATGTTTGTTTCTTTGGTTTTCAAGCAACAGTAATGCAAAATGAAGAAAAGAAGATTTTTTTTGTGTCTTTTCAACAAACCTGTCCACAAGCCTCATCTTCAGTTTCAGTTGGTTGTATATGAGCTGCTGAATCTGTCTGTTTGACAGTCTGAATAATCTCTGTTTCATATTACAATCGTGGGTTTTGTGTGCACATAAAAATTGCTTCTCCCTGGTTTTACTGCAGCCGCACTCATCTGCAACAACCAGGAGCACTCATGTCTGGGAGTTCTTTGAATTATTTGGAAAAATGATGATTAAATACAACCATGTTTCTGTCTGGTTTGTGTGGTGAAAGATGGTAAAATTTCAAACAGTGTTTCCAATTTATTTTTACAGTAGGACTAAAATGTGGAGGGAGGTCAGTCCAACTTATCTGCCATAAGATCATGTAGTGGACTAACCAAGTGCAGAATCTATAAAAAAAAAAGTATATTAAGCTGGCAGAAACTAAATACTCGTAGAGAACAATGAATGATAAATGAATCAATGGTCTACAGAGACAATCACCGACAGATGTTAACATCAAAGCATCAAAGATTCTCCTGTTTCGAGAGATCACCTGCTTTCATGACATTTAACTTGACTAATCGTTTCTTGATCCATTCAGCTTGTTCCTGAGACAAACGAGTAGACTCCAGGTTTTTTAATGAACCACAACCCCGTCCAAAAGAAGTGACTCCAACCAGCGCTCCATCGCACAACAGCGGGCCTCCTGAATCCCCCTGCAGCAAGAACAAACACATGACAGTGTTTCAGGTGTTGAGCTGAATGCAAGGAAACAAGGAAAAATACATGTATTCTTCATACGTACCTGACAGGTATCAGCGACGTTTGTACCATCTGAACCAGCACATATCATGTCATCAGTGATAACAGGGTCGTGGTTCGTAATAATCACCGAGAGTTGCACTCTGCCTGTCCGACCACAGTCACATTGACAGACTGAGGACGTCTGATGTTTCGTTTTGTTTCGGTTACTCCCCATCCGGCCACCAGACACGTGCTGCCAGCTGCCGGGTCTCTCAGGTGTCGCCAAACTTGAGCCACTTGACTCCCCGGTTTTCCTCACCGGTTCTTTAAGCTGAAAAAAAGTTAAAAAGAATATCAGATATTGGTGATGAATCTCTCCACATTAACTACATTAAATAAACAGATATTTGCTAAAGAGTTGTAGCACCACTCATTTATTTCTAATATTTTGCTTGGAAAATATGAAATATGTGCAGTGATGAGTTGAAACATGTCTATAAAGACATGGAAATACATTTTATATTTTAAAAAATGAAACTAAGTTTTAGTTAAGTGAGCAAAACCTGAGTTGGCTGTAGGAGGTACAGCAGGTTATCTACTAATCGGATGGTTTGGTGTTTGATCCCTGGTCTCTCCAGTCTGCATGTCAAGATACTGAACCCCACGATGCTCTCTGATGCTACGTTAGAGTGTGAGTGTGTCAGTGTTAGAAAGCACTTAAGCACAGAAAGATGTGTTTGGGTGAATAAGCCATGTTGTGTAACGCTCTGAGTGCTCAGGTAGAGTAGAAAGGTGCTAAATAAGAAGCAGTGCATTTACATTTACATTATTTGTATCAGACCCTGATAGGGATGGGTATTGATAAGATTTTCACGATTCCGATTCCATTTTCGATTCTGTTTAACGATTCGATTCTTTATCGATTCTTTTTAAAAAAGGAGAACACTAAGGTCGATTAGCTTAGAACTTTGTTTTATATCTTCTCTTTGAACAAGATAGAAATTTAGGAGTAACATGGCCTTACAAACCCAACAGTGAGATCTTAAGAGATCCACAGCCTACGGCTCTTCAATGGGGTGTCACAGGGTCCCCAGGAAAAAATTGTAAATGTAAAATAATAAAATAAATATTCTTCTGTAGCAATAACAAAGTATAACATAAATTATTCTGTAGCAATTACACAAGAATATCCAGTAATGTCCCTGCCTACAATTAAACACATTCACTTACTGAAAATCATCTGCTGTGGCAAACGGGTGCAAGCCTTTGACCACAAACTGAGTCTCTGCTCGGTGACATTCGTCTATCCTGGCCTGAAAGGAGACGCTACCGGTAGACTGCAGCGAGAACTGCCAGCATCTGAAGCCAACCAATTCGTCGACTCCTTCAAATGCGGCCGACAAATGCGTCCTTCATTTCCCCGAATTTGAAGGATGGGTCGGGTGTGTCCTTCGTGGCCCACCATATCCCAGAATTCATAGCGCGGCCCAGCCAAATTTCAGCTGCCAACAATGGCGGCCGCTGCTAAGTTTTAAAATTAGTCTTATTACTCTTTCTGGGTCACAAAATAAACTTTTAACATATTTTAAGAGCTTTCAAATATCTGCTTGGTTTATCAAGACATCGCATATTTGCAAAAGTGCGCCGACGTTTTCGGAGACGTCTGTTACCCACCCGCTCGATAGCAAGCCGGGGGGTTCAGTGGTCACTCGAGCCGGCGAGAGCAGCGGACTCGCTTCATCGTTTTCAGATCCCCGCTCTTTTGCTACTCAGGTTAAACATGATATATAAGTCACTCGGATAACTTAAAAATGTAATTGTTTGCCTTTTTTCTGTTTTTTGTTCCGGAGTAAATCGGTTTGGCTGAGATCAAAGTTATTAGATTATTAGATTAAATAAAACTTTATTAATCCATCGGGTGGGTTCCTCCGGGATTTTCACACAGCTGAATAAACGTCAAACAGAAAACTGATTAAACAGAAGTGTGAGACGGTCGAGAGTTTACTCCAGTGTCCTGTTATATTTTAGATAGCAAGGAGCAGACGGCCGAGTTTATTAAACTCCACCGACACAGCGGTGACGCAAATCTGAAGGCTAGACCGTCCCATTTCACAGCCTCGCACTTCCGGCCTTCTCGGTCTTCGAAGGACCCGGCCCACGTAGACCGCGAAGGCCGCGTCCTCCGAAGGATGCAGCCGACATTTTGGAACACAGCTTCTGTCTGTCTCTCTCATCATGGTCACCTAAATGCACAGTAATGGCAGGTTTGTAATAAGGCAGATCGCGCTAACATAATATGCACTGTTAGTTGATTATTTACCTGCCGCATTAACGGGAGAGGACGTGCAAACGTTACCGCTGCTGCTGGGTTGAGATTCACGAGTCCGGAGCGGAATTAAAAACACGACATTCATTTAAGGTCATCGTGTTTTGTGAGCAAATGCTTTTGCATATTCGTAGTGTTTCCTCCCTTAAATGAAATATCTACTTTGCAAGTATTGCAAGTTGCCCTGTTGTCATCCGTTCTCGTAAAGTATAACCAAACTTTTGAGCGTTTGAGCCGCTGCCAGGTAAATGACGCTCCGCAACGTGGTGACGTCATTCGGGGCGACTGGAATCGATAAGGGAATCGTTTGCAAAAATGGCAAACAATTCCAAGGAATTGAAACAGTGGGAACCGGTTCTCAACAAGAACCGGGTTTCGATACCCATCCCTAGACCCTGATATATCACCTTACCTTCAGCAACATGAGGTCATTGTCGTGCTTTGCACAACAGTAGTCAGGATGAGGAAAACTTTTCTCGACGACTCGGAGTTGCTTGGAATGTTCGTTTTTCGTTCTGGAGTGGGCTCCCAGCGTCACCCAGTAACTCCTGTAAAAGAAAAAACACAATCTGGTGATGAAGGTTTACATATTTAAAAGGTTAACAGCGGCTTCTAAAACAGTCATCATAGTTCCTTATTATTGTGTATTACTACATATGGCTGGGTTATAGCTGTTACTGAGCTTTGGGTGAATCTGCGTTATTTTTTCTTCAAGCTGAATGAAGAAATTTAAATTTACAGAAAATGTTTTAGATGAAGAAATGTATCAAATGTTTGATGTGTATGTAGCTGTGGCTTCTGTGTTATTTTAAATGAGTGCAACACTTATATTTTCCATCTTAAATAAAACTTTCTAGAACACCTCTGTACAGATATTGTGCTTACAAGAGAGGGAAAAATCAGCTTTAAATATTCTACATTCATCCTCTCCATTCAATGTAATTAGCTTTGCATGTATAATTATAGCAGTGTGTATTATTCGCTTTCTCTAACGAAGAGGCCAGCCACCGTTTACAGAAAGCACATTTCTGCTGCTCTGGCCCTGATCTCATTCTTTCAGTAACTACCCAGAGCTCGTGACCACAGGTGAGGGCAGTGACCTCTGGGTAGTTACTGAAGGAATAATAGTCTGTTGAAAATAAATACTGCATTATTTTTAAAATTGAGGAAAATAGGACCTCAGATTCTTACCCAGTGCAGTGGGCGGCTGTCAGCACCCACTGTGGATGGATTAATGTCCCTCCACACCAAGAATTAGTCACAGTTCTAAGATAGGCCATGTAAGGCAGTGAGTGTGGCTCGACTTCTTTCCCATTAATAATCTCAGAACCACGACCTGAAACAGAAACAAAACATCAGGACACATAAATCAGCAGATGATCAAGTGAAGAACAGATGAGTGAAATAAACACCTGAAGGATATCAGCAGTGTGACTTTGCATTACGCTTACTTACATGAAGATTAAAATTACCAATCGTTAAATTAAATTAGAGTGGAAAACGTTACTCACCTGGCTGGATGATGAAGAGGAGCACACATGAGATGAGGAGACTGAAATTCTTCAGGCAGGACATTTCTTCTTCTTCCCTCTTTGATCAGACGCTGAATGCACTGAAACCCACTGTGATGCTCAGCTTTATGTGCTGAGCTGAGGGGGCGTGGTCTGACATTGGATGAGTAAGATAAACTGACACACCCATCCAAACCCGTCAAGAATTTAGAACAAAAGAAGTCCGCTTAAGAAAATAAAAGAGGATTTGTGGAAGTAAATGATGACAAAAGACAAAATGTCCTAACGTTTACAAAGGACAGTTTTTGATACGGTTTCACCAAAGTTTGCAAAACGATATCGTTGACAGTCTTTCCCAATTTGTTCCCATTTTTTTTCTTTGCCTAACTTGCGACAGTTGCTGTCTTGTTTGCTTCACTGGTTTCTTAAGCTCAGAAACAGCTAAAAAGAAAGAAACATGTTGTTAATGTGAGCAGCAGCTGCAGCGATGTACTGAAACGTACAAATCATCAAACAAATATTAATATTTGATACAGATAACATGAATATATAAATGTCTTGTTATAGCAAAGGTTCAGGGCAATAACTATTAAAACATTGGAAAGCCTGTTTACTTCCCCTTAAATGGCGCCACTTTTGTAAGGAAAGTTCATTTGTGGGTTGAGCAGCAGAATATTTGGCTTGTGCCAATGAAAAACTTGTTAAAACTTCTCTGCCAATGCCAGACAGCTTATTCTGCTACCGGCTCTGGTTTTGAGCCTGTGGTATGCATCCTGCAACAGTTTGTGTCCGCTTTAAGCATGCCACGTTTCACTAATGGGCCAGTAGCGGTTTTTGATAGCGGTTTTTGGGCGACACGGGCGGTTGCCCGGGCGGCATCACGGGCATCGGCAAAAAATAAAAATAAAAAAAATAGCTCGTACTCATACCGACATCAGCCAGCGCATATTGGAAATGTCACAGGCACCGATCGGTTTTCTATCGCCCATTTGCTGGGAGTAAGGGCGCCCTCCGTTTGCGAGCTGCGCCTGCTGCTTGGGGAGGGGGAGGGGCTGGCTGCTTCAAAATAGAGCACATTTCATTCATAATGTTGTAAATCAAGCCCATCATGTATTCATGATTTGAATCCTGGGTTGTGTGAAATCCCAGAAATAAACCTTAGACAAAGTGAATCTGTGAACTAAGGTGTAGGTGTGTTAGGTTAAGTTGTAGTGATCCTCGAGTTTGGGGATTTGTGTTCATACTGCAGTGCAAAATTAAAACCAATGGAAGATGGACAAGAAAAGTTCAAAGCCATCAGGTGCTCAGTTTAGAAAAAAGAGAAAAGAGAGAAACGAGCAAAAGATGCAGGTAAGCAGATGTGTGATTGGATGATGGCAGGTCATCCTGAACCAATCAGAATCAGAATACTTTATTAATCCCTGAGGAAATTATGTGGGTTACAGTTGCTCCAAGAAGAAATGGTAAAAATAGTAACAGTAACAGACTAAACTCCAAACAATACATTATGTTACAGATTTTAATATTAATTAGTCATTGTCAATTGTTGATTTGTCCTGTTCTCATTGTATGACGAATTATGATGGCTGTTTGGTAGCCTGTTTGCATACAATGCATACTCTCATACTGTCGACAACAGTTTTATGTTAATGTACAATCCTTGATTTGCCTTGTGTGTGTGTGTGTGTGTGTGTGTGGTGGTGTTTGGGGGCGGGTGCCAGAGGGAGTGTTCACCCAGGGCGGCAAACAGGCTAGGACCGCCACTGCACAGCATTATTTGGAGTGAGCCTTAGTGCCACCTCCAAACTGAAGGCCAGGTTCTAGATAACAGGACATGTAGGACTAGGAAGCGGGCGTCCCAGAAACATGGGACCACAAAGCATACATTTCATGCACAGCATTTCTAGGCAAAGCCAAGACAGTTGTAGCCTCAGAATCTCATCTCGTGGTGGCTGACAGGGCAGTGAAAGTTTCAGGTTTTTATTGTTAATAGTTTTTGAGACATTCAAATTCAAACATTGCCTCCGATTGTCACGGCTGCCGCAGCAGTCATGTGGAGAAGTGAAGGAGGACCCAAGTTGCAGACAGCAGCGGTGATGCAAGTGAGTTTATTTAAAGGGTGGCTGTAGCTCAGGTGGTAGAGCAGGTCATCTACTGATCGGAAGGTTGGTGGTTCGATTCCCGGCTTCCCCTAGTCTGCATGCCAAATATCCTTGGGCAAGATACTAACCCGAAATTGCTCTCCGATGCATTCGTTGGAGTGTGAATGTCAGTTGTGCTTGTGCGAATGGGTGTGAATGGGTGAATGCACAAGTTGTGTAAAGCGCTTTGAGTGCTCAGAAGAGTGGAAAAGTGCTATATAAGAACCAGTCCATTTACAGTGAACGATAAATAACAAAAGCGAGGGCAAAACTGAACTGGGGAAAACCACTAACAAACAAAACCTGAAACGATAACTCACAGAATCACTCGCAGGGAAAACATAAGGAGGGAAGGGAAGAGATGAAGAGCAGGGAATGGAGCAGAATGAGGCGCAGAGATGACCAAATAATACAGATGAACCAACAAGGAACACAGGCAGGCACACACTATAAATACACACAAGGTAACGAGGGAATGACACACCAGAGGGGAACACAGCTGAACCTAATTACACACAACGAGACACAAACCTTCAAAGCCGGAATGACCCTTGATCAGCACAACACTTTCATTTTTTGAACACTTTCATTTTCTTTCAGTGTTTCTCAAAAGCATTTTTTTTTTTTTGCCTGTCCCGTTTGGATCTTTTGCATCAGAATTATTGTCTAAAGGCAAAGAAAGATGCCCAACGGATTTACTTTACCAAATTGACCATCCCAGCCTTGGGTCTATTTGATTCACCTTTTATTGTTTATTTTATTTATTTTTTATTTTCACTTGCTAAATACGGGACAGACCTGAATGAGGAAAAGAAAAGGGAGAAAGGAAGAGGGGGAAAAACAGCGGAGAAGAGGAGCGAATCATTTAATTTGTAATTCAAGTGTGCACTGGCAGTCATTTAATTAACAATCACATGCAGTTTCCATATTTACACATGGAAGATGAAGTCCCACAAAAGCTTTTCCGTATCAACTCTGTAAAACGTCTTCAGTCGAATTCTGCATATTTAAAATATTCATAATACAAAACTGAAATTAAAATAATTTACATTTTGCACTTGAGAAGAAAAGTGTAAACCTGTTATGTCAGAATCATAAAAAGCAAGTAAACACTGAGGTGCACAGCTTTATATGCTGAGCTGAAGAAATGCAGTCTAAGCAAAATGGACTCATCCACCCAAAATCTTCACAGCCGATGGGAGAAACTGAGCTTTAATATCTAACACACACATGCACACACATACAACGGCTGCACTACATGTCTGCACCCGGTGATGGGCTGGTACAGTCTGGATACAGATTTATAGGCTATCATCTCCCAGCCCATGCAGGAGACTCTGACAGCACTGAGCAGCTCCTTCAGTGGCCACGATGTGGGACGGAGAGATTCGGCAGGTCTTTCCTTCTAACTGCTGTCAGACTCCACAACAAATCCACACAAACGTGCACACACATCCACACATGTGAAATATTTTTGCTGGTATGTCTCTGAAACTGTGATCTATCCTTATAAAGTTTATGAACGCTGCGTTATAATCTAGAAATGAAAAAGAAGACAGGTTGAAAAATCAAAAGAACATTTTGTGTAATAAATGTTGATGAAAGACACATTGTCCTAACATTGGTACAAAGAAAGGTTTTGAAACAGTAATTTCCCCAAAAGGTTTCAGAACGATATTTTCCCTGTCAGGTTGCCACATCTTTGCTGACAGTTTTTAGCCCATCATGAGTCAGTTTCATTATCTTGGTTTGCTCTTTGATATTGACCAACATAAATCATTTTTATCAGGATGTCCTAAAAACTCAATGAAAAGCCTTCAGTTCATCCAAAATGATGCAGTAAGAGTCCTGACAGGGACTAGAAAGAGAGAACAGATTTAAACCATATGTCTTAATGACCTTGTAGTACCATATCACCCAATCCAGTCTTTAAGTGATGACGTGATGAATCCTACTTCCGGGCCTAAAGTAGCTGCGTTTAATATGGCTTTTGTGTTGTTAACATGTTTAATGTTTTGTATTTTCTTCTATTTAATCTCAAAAAGCTCCTAAAAACAGTCAGTGATCACTAGGGATGGGTATCGAAACCCGGTTCTTGTTGAGAACCGGTTCCCACTGTTTCAATTCCTTGGAATCGTTTGCCATTTTTGCAAACGATTCCCTTATCGATTCCAGTCGCCCCGAATGACGTCACCACGTTGCGGAGCGTCATTTACCTGGCAGGAAACATGGCGGCTCGAACGCTCAAAAGTTTGGTTATACTTTACGAGAACGGATGACAACAGGACAACTTGCAATACTTGCAAAGTAGATATTTAATTTAAGGGAGGAAACACTACGAATATGCAAATGTATTTGCTCACAAAACACACGATGACCTTAAATGAATGTCATGGGTCCACGTCACCGGCAGTCATCAACAGATGCGGTGAGTCGGAGAGACCGTGTTCATTTTGCTCCTTCCGAGCCTGGACTTACAACCTCTGAGTCAACCATTCCTGAGCCAATGAACTCTATGACAGCCAACTCAGGTTTTGTCAAATTTGAAATCGCAGGGTCTGAGACTATTTCTTCCCAGGCCATATTTTCTGGCTCCATGGATTTTAAAGGTCTCTTTCATGTTCCTTCCGAGCCCAGGAATATAATAACACATACAGTTAATGTCGGCTCAGAGTCTGTTTCCATTAAGACTGTTACTGCAGTTAAAGAACTGGCTTTTCCGGAGACTGAAATTTTTCCCAGAGCTTCCCCAGAGGTTGAGTTACTGTCCTCAGCTGATTCTGGACCCCTGGAGTTAACAGAATCTGTACAGTCAGTGAAATTAACAGACTGTTTTTATTTTTTCATGTGGAGCAGAAAAGTAATCTAAAAAAGACTGTTTTCCCTGAGCCTGCCTCCCTGCCTCTTTGTGCTCCCCTTCTAAGGTCAGCTGCAGCCCTGCATTCTCCTGCTCCTGTCCCAGTTCCCCAGGAGAGGAGGGTTGGGGCCCAG